TTTATATTATTAATATCTTCTTCTAATTAAAATAAAATAACAGTTTTTAAGCTTATATACAGGCTTTAAAAAAAATTATTTTTTACTATTAATTCTAGAAAATAGAGTATTTTTTTTTATAAATTAAATATAAAATAATCTTCTAATTTTTTGCAACACGCATAATCTAAAGATTTAAAAAAAAAAAAAAATCTAGCTTAAAAAGCTTATTTTAGTTTAAATATTATTATAATTTATAAATATTTAAGAAATAAAAAAAAAGAATTTAATAATATTCTCTAAAAATAAATCAAATAACTATAATTAACTTATAATTCTAAAACTACTCTATAAATAATAGATATAAAAAAAAAAAAATAAAAAATTCTATAAAAGCAGTTTATTTTGCTTTAAAATATATTTTTATATAAATATAATTTATTATATTTTAAATATAGTTAAGATATCTGCCGTATTTTATTTATTTTAGTTGGTTAGATTAATCAGATTAGTCAAATTATTCTAATATTTATAAAAAAAGTTTAAAAAAGACTTATATAGAGCCCTCTATAAAAAATATAATATTTATAAAAATTATTTAAATAATTAAAAACTAATCTATTTAGTACTAAAATACAAGAATTTTAAATATAAAAAAAGAAAGAAAAGAAAAAAAAATATAAAAAAACTTTAGAATATATATTATTATTACGCGGAAAAGTCAGTTAAACTAAATAAATAAAATAAAATTAGTATAGTTAATAGCAGGTCTTTAAAGTACTTAAAATCAAAAAAATTAAATAAATTAAAAAAATTAACTAAATAAAAAAAATAAAAAAGATCAACTAGATTAAAAAAATAAAAATAGTAGACTATTCTTATAGTATCTAATATTTAATAAAATAATTATTAAAAAATATAATTACCGAGAAAGACTATATAAATAATATTATATAAATTTTTCTTTAAGTTTAATTTATTATACAAATAATTTAGCTTTTTTAGATAGAAATAAAAATATAATAGACTATCTAAGCTGAAGTAAAAAAAAGAATAATAAAATAAAAATAATATATTTATTTTTAGTAGTCTAATTATTAGTAAATATACAGTTTTTTTAATATTATATATTATAATTAAGATATACAGCTTAAACCGAGCTGTAATTATATATTTTTATATATATTTTTTATTATAAAAACTATAATTTTATAAAAAACTAAATTTTGTTAATACTATTAAAAATCTATAATTAATTTTTTAAAATAGAGATAAAAAAGATACTAATATTTTTTTTAATTATTTTTTTCTAATTTTAAAAGCTTATTTTTATATATTTTTAGATAATAATTAAGATAGTCAGATTAATAACTACTTAATCTAAATATATTTTAACTATATTAAAGTCTAAATAAATATAGCAGACAGGTCTTAGTGCTAAGAATAGTTAAGATAGTTAACTATTTCTTTTTTAATTATACTGCGGTTAGATATAAAAATTTTCTTAATCTAGCTATAATCTGGCGGTCAGGTATAAAAATTCCAATTAACCTGATCTGACCTGGCTGTTAGCCACTCTACACCCAGTATATCCAACTAATCCTAAGCACCCCAAATACCCCATCGACCCGATCTATCTAATTGATTTAATTAACCCTAAAAATCCAGTAAATCCAGCTAGTCTATTTATTATTTTTATTATATTTATTTTATTTGTTTTCTAAGCTGTTTTATAATAAATAAGCTATAGGCTTATATTTCTTTTTTTTCTTTCTCTTCTTTTTTTTCTTATACTTTAAATTCTTGTATTTTAGCACTAAATATATTAATTCTAATTTTTTAAACAGCTTTTATATAATTTTAAGTATTATCTTTGATTCTTTTTTTTTAAGTCTCTTAATAAAGTTTATAATTAATTTAATATATAAATAATTATATATAAACTCGGAAACCTGCCCCGCGCGTATATTATCGGTAATAATAAATAATTTTAAAAAATTATAACTATAATTCTTAAAATAAAAAAATAGATTTAATCTAATTTTATAAATTTTTTTACTACTGTAGCTGTAGACTGTATAATATTTAACTAAATAAATAAAAAACCAAACTATTATTATAGTTAGAGACTGTATAATAATTAAAAAACCAAAAGAATATATTATAATAGTTTATAATATATAGAAACCAAAAATAACCGAATAAAATAGTAAAAAACTAATCTTATTAATAAATAATATTTAGAAAGTTTTAAATAAAAATATATCCCGTAAAAAATTTAATAAATTTTATAAAAAAGACCCAAAGTATACTTTTAAAATAATATTAAAAATCTATAACAAGTTTAAAAAGTAGATTAAAAATCTTAGTAATAAAATAAATATTTTAAAAAAGAAATTAGTATAGGCTGAAATAGATAAAAAAGTCTTAATCCAGAATCTAAATATTATAAAAATAAAAAAAATTATATTATTATACAGAGAAATACTGCTCTAATAATATATAAAAATATAAATCAGATATCTACGAGTAGCTGAAAGATTCTAAAAATTTCTAATCCTCTTATATTTAGTAATAAAAAGAATATTACTTTTAATAATTAAAAGCTTGTAATAAAACAGAAGCTTAAAACTAATACTAACTATTTTAAGAATCTAATAATCTTAAAAATTTATATAACTAGCTGCTGTAAAAAAGATACTAGATAATACTTATTTTTCTAATTGAAAATAGAAGCTGATTATCTGTTTTAAAATATATCTAATATTCTTATATATCTTACTAATATCTATATTAATCTAAACTAATAGTAAAATATTTATTTAGAATATATACAGCTTAAAATAAATCCTGGCTAGAAGCTTTATAATTTTTATATCTAGTTTTATTATTTAATAAAAAAAGCAAACATCGGTACTAATTTTTAGAAGTTTAATCTTTATTAAAAACTGTTTTTTAAGCTTAAGAAACTAATTTTAGTTAAATTCTTTAAATTAAATATTAATTTTAAACAGTTTACTACTATCTATACCGGCGTGTTAAAAAATATAAACAAAAATATAAAACATTATCAACTAATTTTCTTTTTAGTATAGAGAACTAGTATAACTATTAGTATTCTATTTATATAAGCTAAAAAAGATCTGAAAGAAACTTCTAGACCCTATATAAATAATTAAATATAAGTAGTATTATTCGCCGAAAAAAAATATTTTTATTATAAAAAATAGAAATATCTAAGTCGTGATTATTCTAAAAAAAACCCCTAGATCTAATTAATTAAAGAAGATACTATTAATAATTTAAAAAAAGATTCTATCTAAAAAAAGTCTTTTTTTTAAACAAACTTAGTATCAACTATAGATATATTAATTTAAAAAAGCTATTAAATAGTCCAGAAAATAGTTTTATAATTTAGATTCTTATTTTAAATAATACTACGGTAGTATATATAAGAATACTAATAAATACTAAAATAAATACTTTTATCTATATTAATATATTAATACAAATTATATTATATAAATAGAAAAATTTCTAAAAACTACTGCAGCCAGGCTTAAGAAACTAAAAAATATTATCAGATTTAATAAAAAGACTGTTATATCTTTTGTTTATATAATCCGATTTAATCTGATAATAGATAAACAGTTGTTTAAAAAAATACTATTTTTAATTTTAGATCTTAAATTTTATAATATAATATTTGGTAAAATATAACTAAACAAATAAAATCTGTTTTTAGATTATAAAAATAAATATTTAGTATAATCTTAAGATTTTTTTCTACAGAAATAAGTTAAGACTAAACTTCTAAGAATTATTTTTTTTAAATAATTAGTAGTTAAAAGATAAACTAGAATTATTAAAAAAATACCAAAAAGCAGAATTATAAGATAGAATTAAAAGATTAAAAAATATTAATTTAAATTTTAAAATAAAGCATCTTCCGAACCCATAAAAATAATATAATAAAGTTATTATAATATATAGATTAAAAACTTAAGAAAAAGCCTATAGATAATCAGACTTTAAGTAGACTAAAAATTACTTTAAATATAATTATATAATTCTTTTCTGCTAAAGTTAAAATTATATGAATAAAAATAGCCGGATCTTATAGATATCTAAAAAAATTAGAGATATTTATTATATTACTTATAAAAATTAAGAAGACTATTAACAGTAAAATCTAAAAAAAAATCTAGTAAGTAAACTAAAGGGGATTAAAAAAATCTTATTTAAATAATATTATAATCTAGCTAATATATTTTTAAAGTAAGTCTTAGATATCTTATTTTTAAGCTATATATATAATTATAAGATTTGTCTAAAAAATAATAATCTAATTAGAATCTTTTTTTTATATTAAATAATTATAAAAGAATTAGAAGCAGCTTGAATCTTTATTAAAAAAAATCTAAATAAAGAATTTATAATTTTTAATTCTGTTTTTTTTATATTTCTAATTCTTATAGCTAAAAAACCCGAAGAAGAATTAAGACTATATATAGATTATTAAAAATTTAATATTTTAATAAAAAAAAATCTATATCTACTTTTATTAATTAACAAAATTTTAGACCAACTAAAAATAGTAAAAATCTTTATTAAATTTAATATTAGATAATAATTCCACCAAATTAAAATATATATAGAATTTAAGAACTTGACTATCTTTCAAACCTGCTATAATATATATAAATATAAGATTTTTTCTTTTAGTCTAATAAATAGATCTACTACTTTTTAAAAACTTATAAATAAAATACTAAATAATTATCTTAATCTATTTATAATAATATATAAAAATAATATTCTAATATACAGTTAAAACCTAGTAGAATATAAGTTTTATATTATAAAAACCAAGTTCCTGGGATTTATAGTTTTTATAAAAAGAATTAGTATAAATCTAGAAAAGATTTTTATTATATAAGACTAGACTATTTCTATAATAGTTAAAGAAGTCTAATTATTCCTAGGATTCTGCAACTTTTATTAATAATTTATTAAAGCCTACAGTTGGATTATTAAGTCTTTAATTCTATTTATCTATTAAAATATTTTTTTACATAAAATAATAACTACCAAGTAGTATTTAAATTATTAAAATAATTTCTAATTTTTATACCGGTGCTAAAATATTATTACTATTATTTAGCTAATATATCTGTTATATCTAAAATCTTCTTTTATTTTTATTATTTAAAAATTAATATTAAAAAATTTAATATTATTAATATAAAAAATTTTATCTTTAGTTATATCTTCGATACTATAGCCTTTATAATATATAAATAATATTCTAATAAAAACTAGATTTATTATTAAATATATTTTAATAGTTTTTTAATAGATTTATTAGACTAATAAAAATTAGATTTCGGTTAGTATATTAGAAAATATTATAAAATTTTTATAAATTTTAAACTAGTATAAAAAGTTTTTTATTAATTATATTATTTTTAATTAAAATTTAGATTAGAACTTAATATTCTGTATTTAAATTAGCTATCTAATTCTAATTTTAATTATTAGTTTTAAAATAATAAAACTAGTTTATTACTATAAATATAAGCTAATTAGTATTAATAAATCTAAAATTATTATATATTTTTTTTATTAACTTTTAGTTAATTTATAAACTAATTTATTAGTTTAATCTCATTTTCTATTATTTTTTTATTATAGATTATTATATTATTGCAGATAATCCAACTATATTCTATTTAATATCCGAAAATAATAAATTTCTTTTATAAACTAAAACTAAATAGATATTTTTTAAAAAGATTTACTATAAAATATATATTATATATAATAATAAAACCTTTTTTTAGAATTTTTATATTTAAAAAATAAAATAGTTCTGACTTTTTATTATTTATTTTCTATAAAAATAATACTAATTAATCAGATTAATCTAGTAGTTTTTTAATAGAAGTTTAGCTTATTTATAAAACTTTTTATTTTAATTATATATTTTAGTATTAAACTTTAAATATATCTAATATAATAATTCGGTATAGATTTAGTTATTTTTTTTATATTTAAAAATAAGATATTTTCTGCTGCTTTAATTTTTTTTTTATTTTTTATAATTTTAAATAACTTGCTGGATATTATTTATAGATTTTTTTAAGATTTATTTATTATATTTATTTAGCCAGTCTATTTATTTAACTAGAAAATACTATTTATTACTAAAAATCTGTTTATTTTTAATATTTTTGATTTTAAACTTTTTTTTTTTTAAATCTAGAGAATAGAGTTAGTTTTATAAATTTATATTAGATTTTTATTATTCTAATAATAATATATAAAAGATATTATAAATTTAATTATAGTAGTTAAATAAAAAATTTTAATATACTTATTTTTTAATAACTACTAGAACTTTTAAAAATCTAATATATTAAAAAGCTAGTTTTTAAAATAAAATCTTAATTTTTAAATTTTTAGTAGACAGTTTTATCAGATCTTTTTTTTTAAAAAATTATTAGCTAGAATTTTTATTATAATATTTTTTTTATATTTTATTAATTTTTTACTAGTAGTTTTATAGATTTTTTTATAGTATAGTAAGTTTATTAACTTAATTTTTAGCTATAGAAATCTTTAACAGTATTAATATTAAATATTTATTTAATGATTTTTAAAATATCTGCTATTATCGCCGGAGCTGTTTTTATTCTAATAAAATTAAAAATAATAATATTTTAGATATATACTAATTATTTTACTATTAGTAAGAAGTACTAGAATATTTTTAATAATTTTAATCTAGATTTAATTATTTTTATATCTAAAAAGTAAAAAAAAATAAGATAATTATTATCTTTTATATTAGTAAAAATAAGAATATAAATAATCTTAAAAATAATTTAGAAAATAGATTATTATTAGAAATAAAAAAGCTAGTTTTATCTAAATCTTTAAATATTATATATACTTAAATAAAAATAAAGACCTGGTCTTCTTGATTTTTTTACTACTATAATTATTATTTTAGATAATATAAAAAATAATATAATCTTATTAGTTTATTTAATATCAGATTTTATATTTTTTATACTAAATTTTATAAATATTTTTTTAAAGTATAGTATATTTCTCGGAATTATAGAAAAAAAGGTCGAGCAGATTAAATAAATTAAATAAATTAAATAAATTAAATAAATTAAATAAATTAAATAAATTAAATAAATTCAATAAATTAAATAAATTAAACAGATCGAATAGATTAAATAGATTAAAAAGATTAAGCAGATTAAACAGATTAAGTAGATTAAACAGACTAAATAGATTAAGCAGATTAAGTTAGAGTGGCTAACGGCCAGGTCAGGTTAGGTTAATTAGAATTTTTATACCTGACCGCCAGGTTATAACCAGGTTAAAAAAACTTTTATATCTAACTGCGGTATAGCTAAAAAAAAACAGTTAATTATTTTAATTATTTTTAATATTAAAATTTATTTATTATATTTATTTAGGCTCTAGCACGGTTAAAATATATTTAGATTAAATAATTATTAATTTAATTATTTTAACTGTTATCTAAAAGTATATAAAAACAAACTTTTAAAATTAGAAAAAAATAATTAAAAGAAGTATTAGTATCTTTTTTATTTTTATTTTAAAAAATTAATCAGAGATTTCTAATAATATTAATAAAATTTAGTTTTTTATAAAATTATAGTTCTTATAGTATAAAATATATATAAAAATATATAATTATAACTCGGTTTAAGCTGTATATTTTAATTATAATATATAATATTAGAAAAACTATATATTTATTAATAATCGGATTACTAAAAATAAATATATTATTTTTATTTTATTATTCTTCTTTTTACTTCAGCTTAAATAGTCTATTATATTCTTATTTTTATTTAAAAAAGCTGAATTATCTGTATAATAAATTAAACTTAAAAAAAAATCTATATAATATTATTTATATAATTTTCCTCGGTAACTGTACTTTCTAATAATTATTTTATTAAATATTAGATACTGTAAAAACAGTCTACTATTTTTATTTTTTTAATTTAGTTAATTTTTTTTATTTTTTTTATCCAGTTAATCTTTTTAATTTATTTAATTTTTTTAATTTTAAGTACTCTAAAAATCTGTTATTAATTATATTAATTTTATTTTATTTATTTAGTTTAACCAACTTCTCCATATAATAATAATATATATTCTAAAATTTTTCTATATTTTCTTTTTTTTTTTTTTTTTTTTATACTTAAAATTTTTGTAGCTTAGTATTAAATAGATTTATTTTTAATTATTTAAACAGCTCTTATAGATATTATATTTTTTATAAAAAGCTTTATATAAGTTTTTTTTAGATTTTTTCTATAAATATTAAAATAATCTAATTAATCTGACTAATCTGACTAATTAAAATAAATAAGATGCGGCAGGCGTCTTAGCTATATTTAGAATATAATAAATTATATTTATATAAAAATATATCTTAAAATAAAATAAACTATTTTCATAAAATTTTCTATTTTTTTTTTATATCTATTATTTGTAGAGTAGTTTTAGAATTATAAATTAATTATAATTATTTAGTTTATTCTTAAAGAATACTATTAAGCTCTTTTTTTTTATTTCTTAGATATTTATAAATTATAATAATACTTAAACTAAAATAAGCTTTTTAAGCTAGATTTTTTTTTTAAATCTTCAGATTACACGCGTTGTAAAAAATCAGAAGATTATTTTATATTTAACTTATAAAGAAAAATACTCTACTTTTTAGAATTAATTAGAGTAGATTAACCTGACCGTTATATCTTAATCTTAACCTGGCTATAACCTGGCGGTTAGATTAAAATACAAAAAAATTTTAACTGTATAATTATAGTTAGATTAAAATATAATTATTATTTTAACTGTTTATACCTGCCAGAAAAATCAGATATAGTAGGTAGATTAATAACCGCAGATTAATTAGTAATATATATATTCTTTTTATACAGATAATATATAAAATATAATATATTTTTAATTATAGTATAGTAATATTCTTTAAATTTAGTTTATTTATTTAATATTATAGTATAGCCCTAATCCTTCCGACTTATCTGCTTAATCTGTTTAATTTATTTAACTTACTTAATCTATTTAATTTACTTAATCTATTTAATCTACTTAATCTCTTCCTCCGTAGAGCTGAGGGATATACTATATTTTAAAAAAGATTTTTATAAAATCTAGTATAAAAAAAATAGTATCTGATATTAAATAAACTAATAAGATTATACTATTTTTTATACTGTCTAAAACAGTAATTATAATAATAAAAGAATTAAAAAAACCGGGTTTCTATTTTTATCTAAGTATATATAATATTTAAAAACTTAAATAAAGCTAGCTTCTCTGTTTTTAATAATAATTTATCTTCTGAATCATCTTTAAAATTATCTATATTTTTATTTTTATTAATATAAAAAATAGTAATTATTTTATTCTTCTCTTACTTCTTAAATATAAAAATAATTAAATTCGGATTAAGATTATTAAAAATATTCTAGTATTTTTTACTAATAGTAAAATAATCGGTATATATCTGAAGTATTATTACTTTAATTATATTAGTATAAAAACAGCTCCGGTAATAATAACAGATATCTTAAAAATTATTAAATAAATATTTAATATTAATACTATTAGTAGTAACCGAAAGAAAATCTTTAACTATCTAATAAAAAATAAAAAACTAATTACAGCAAGACTTTTAGTAAATAAAAATATTAGTATATTTTATAATACCTAGAATAATATTAGTTTAATTAAAAATATCTTTATAAGTTATATATTTTTAATATCTAAATATATTTTAAATTCTTTAAATATTTCGGCTGCTGGTAAGAGTCTTTAATATTTAAAAATATTATAAAAAACTTTATCCAAGCCTAATAATAATCCAAAAATAGTTAACAATATATTAATAGCCGGATTCTAACTATAATAAAAATAAAATATTTTCTTAAAAATAGTTTAGTATTTATAATACTAGTTAGTATTATTATTCAGCTAGATATTCTTCTTAAACTTCTTAAGCTTTAATATCGGGTTTAAAACAGTTATAATTATATAAATATAATCTTTTGTTTAGTAAATATAATAATAATATTTTTAGAGCTTTTAATATATATTTTATAAGTCTTTAAAAATCTTTTTTTTTTAAAATACCTGCTTTTTTACCAGTCGGTTAATTAAGTAATCTAAATAATTAAAAAAATTATTATAAATATTATAAATTTTATAAACAGTAGGCCCACTGTTCTCAGATAAATAAAATATAAAAAAAAAAAATATAAAAGCTTAAAAAGATACTCTATCTATTTCTATTTAATTATAATAAAGTAAAAATAATTAATATTATTATAATTATAATATTAAATAAAACTCTTAATTACTTAATAAAAATTAAATATCCGGTAAATTATAAGATAAATTAAGTTCCAGCAAGTTTTATAGTTAAAAAAAATAGTAGACTAAGCCTAATTTAAATTATTAAATAAGCTGAAACTTTTTATAATATTAAAAGCTTATATTTATAAATTATATAATCTTCTAAATCTATAATCAAAAATTAGTAAAATTAACTATTATTAAAAAAAGACCTTTAGAGCCTGTTTATAAAAAACTAATCTAAATAGTTTCTATTATAAACAATAAAAATTTTTTATATTAGCCTTTTATAAATAACTTCTAGAATATATTTTTTTAAGAATTTTTAAAATATCAGAAAAGACTTTAAGACTTTTATTATAAATCTTTTATATATATTTAATAGTACTGTTTAAAACTTTAATCTAAAGTTTTTGCAGAAAAGTATTAACCATAAGCTAAATTATATAAGTAAGACAGAATATATAATACTAGCTTTAAATAATTATTATAAAATCGGGGTAAAGTAAAGTATTATAAAACTGAATACTCTGGCTAAGCTAAGTCTAGAATTTAGATAAGATTATACTAAATATTAAATTATTATTACTAGTATTATTAGTTGTTATATATAACAACTAATAAAATAGATTATATTTATATAAAACTAATAAAATAATTATAATTAGATTTTTATTAATATAAAATCTAAATACCGGTCGAAAGCCTAGTAGAACTTTATAATAATTTATATTTTTTATTAAAAAATATCTAGTTAAAATAAGAAATACTTTTTAATTAAGACTGGTCCAGCAGTCTATTATAATTAATATTTATTTAATATCTAAAAATTTTAATAACAGCTGTATATATATATCTTTTAATAATTTTAAAAAATATTTTTTAATTTATACTTAATTAGAAAGACTTGATTTTCAGTAAAAAAATAAAACTATAAGATTAATTATTTATTTAAATTAAATATACTTAATAGTTCGGAATAATAAGTAACAGATAATTATAAAGTATAAAACTTAATTCTAAAAATTTTATTTATTATAGACTGCAGAGGCCTAAAAAAATAATAATTAAAAAAAATTTATTTTTAAAAAATAAATAAATATCTGTAATAGTTTTTTATTCAGTATCTAACTAATTATTTACTTAGATACTACTAATAATATTTTCTTTTTATACTTCTTGTAAAAATAATAGCTTATAAAACTAGTTTCTAAGTTTTTAATTTCCGGATGTTGCAAGATATAAAGATATATAATATAATAAATATAAAAAATTTTATTAAAAAATAATATATTTTTCTAAAAACTATTTTATATTATTAATATTTTTTTTAACTAAAGTAAAATAGCGGTTTTCGAGCTTATATATAAATTTTAAAAAAGATTATCTTTTACTATTAATTCTAGAAAATAAAGAGCTTTTTTTTATAAATTAGATATAAAATAATCTTCTAATTCTTTACAACGCGCGTAATCTGAAGATTTAAAAAAGAAGAAAAAATCTAGCTTAAAAAGCTTATCTTAGTTAGAATATTATTATAATTTATAAA